CCCCCCCCCCCCCCCCCCCCCCCCCCAAACCCCCTCACCCCTCTCTCTCCGCTCTCTCTCCCCAGCCATGCACACTCCAGCTCCAGCCGAACTCTTCATCTCCGGCGCCCTCCCCGCTTCCGGAACCTTCCCTTCCTCCTCGGCCCTGGGTCCCTACCAGCACCCGGCGTCCTTCGGCAGCCGCAGCTTCCCGGTGGGGTCCCCGCTCAGCCTCCCCGAGGCCGCCTTCAGCCCCGGTTCCAACGGGCTGCTGTCGCCGCACGACCCCCTGCTCCACATCAAGCCCAGCCAGCCCTCCGTGCCCTCCTCGCTGGGCTTCGACCGCCTGGGTTCGGCCGTGCTGGGCTCGGCGCTGCCGGCGCAGACGCCGCCGTACCGCCCGGCGCCCGGCTCGTCGCAGTTCAACCTGCTGTCGGCGCCGCTGCCGGCGGAACAACCGCCGCAGCTCTACAACGCGCCGGTTTTCGGGGGTACGGCCGGAGGAGGGACGGCCGGAGGAGGCGGCGATCGCGCCATATCGCGACAGGACAGCGTGATCAAGCACTACCAGCGACCCGGCGGCGCCCAGGCGCAGCTGGCGCCGGCGCCGAGCCTGCAGCACTACCTGAGCTGCGGCGGGTCGTACCAGCAGGTCGCGGCTCACCGCGCGCCGCTGTCCTGCAGCCCGCTGGGGGAGCAGTCGCCGGCCAGCTCCGAGGGGTCTCAGCAGCCCCCCAAAAACCCGCCGGCGGCTCCTCGTGCCGAGCCCGGTTACCGACCCATCATCCAGTCGCCGGCTTATTCCGGGAACGGCAACGGCGGCGCGGCCGGCGGCGGAGCGGCCGGGAAGTCCAAGAGCTACTCGGCGTCGCGGCAGCCGCCGCCGCGTTCCACCAACACGCCCAAGTGCCAGAGCAGCTACACGCCCGGCACGCCGAAGCCCAGCTCCGTCATCGCCAGCCAGTCGCCGGCTTACTCGCCGGGCCAGCCTCCCCAGAGCCTGCTGGCCATGGGGGGAGCTCCGGCTTACAGCGCGGCCGGGGCGCCCCAAAACTTAGCGGGACCCGCGCAGCCCTCGGCGGGGTTCAGCGGCGGCCAAGCCGGGGAGCTGGCGGGGAAAAGCGGTGGCTACCAGGGCGGCGGCCAAAGCGGCGGCCAAAGCGGGCTGCAAGGCTGCGGAACCTACTCGCCCGAGCAGCTGCAGGCGCTGCCCTACGGCGTCCAGCCCGAGGGGGGACAAACGGGGGGCTACGGCCCCCCGGCCCCCTCGCAGGGTTTGCCCACGGCCAGCCCCTCGCTGAGTTACAGCACCGGGCACTCTCCGGCCATGCCGGGGCCGCCGCTGCCCTACGCCGGTTTGGGAGGGTCCAGCCCTTCTCCCATCATCCGGCCGCTGCAGTCGCCGCCGGCCGGGCGGCCGCAGAGCGGGGCGTCGCCCGGGCAATCCCAAAAATATTTGGGCTCGGTGTTGTCGCCGTCTTTCATGACGCCGCAGGGTTACGGGGCGGCGGCGGCGGCGGCGGCGGCGGCGGGAGGGATGGAGCGGCCGCCCGCCGCCCCCGGAGCGCCGCCGAGTTTCGGGAAAGGAGGGAAAGGCGACGCGGAGCTGCTGGCGGCGGAGCGCAGCGAGGACGAGGATTTCCTGATCCAGCACCTCCTGCAGGCGCCCAGCCCGCCCCGGGAGGGTTTGGGGGGCTGCGAGGAGCGCCCCAAAAGCATGGCCGGCTACGCGGGGGCGCTGGGCAAGGAGGAGCGCTACCAACTGCAGAGCGTCATCCGGCCCAACTCCAACCTGGAGGCTCCGCTGGAGCTGGCGCTGCTGAAGGAGAAGAAAAAACCGGAGAGAGGCAAAGAATTCCGGGGGGCCGGCGGCGGAGGGGCCGGAGGAGGGGGCGAGGGGCTGGCGGCCACCTCGGTGGTCCACTACGGCCACCA